CTTGTCACCTACCTGTGCCTCCTTCCAGTGACAAACTCCTTGCTGATTTCACCGCTCCCGTCACCTGCACACTTCCTCTCCTTCGTCCCCCCTCTTCTTCTGCATCAACCTCGCGTCGTCAACTCATTCATGGTCAGATTGCCTAAAACATAGTTCCCAGTCTGGCACAGGCGTTCCCCTTCTCGATATCTGTCTCCAGGCGTTCCCCTTCTCGATTTCTGTCTCCCAGACGGCGACCTTGTGTCTGTATATGGGCAGTATGATCATTGCACCTCTGTGTTCCTAGCATGTGCAAGCCATCTGGCCTGTCTGAACCGCACTATTAGACAGGTAGCTGCGTGGATTGGATGCAGTGCTTCCACAGTGAGGACTCTCTGTTCGCTCCCGCTCTGTGATGACCCAGCTGATGCTTAGTTTGCTTGTGATCAGGATTGTCTGTGCCATGAGCATGACGAGGGAATGGTCCATGCGAGGCCTTGTTTCAACACTTTTGATGACAGTCTCTTGTGTACTTGTGCATGCCACCCTATTATGGCATGTCCTCTCTGTAGAGAGAGGCTGGAATGAGAATGCTGTTATTTAAGCGTTCCCGGCCGGGCACCCGCGCGTGCAATATATATCTGTTTGTGACGATATATATATATTATTTATATATATATTTATTTATTTCCATCTGGTGTGAGTGAGTGGTAGTCTGCTTTGACTTTTGGCACAGGTACCTTGAGGGCAGTGGTTGGTGCCCACCTCAGGGTATCAGTTGTCGGGCAGTCGTTTAATGCTTAACCACAGCCGGGTTTAAGGTGGAATACAGTGTAATCAGTTAGGAGATTCTGCAGACTGTTGAGGGTGCAGCCTCCTGATGATTCGGTGAAACTCCGACAAAACAGTTTGCCACAGCCCCTCGTTTGTTGTCCTCTTCCCCCTCCCTCTCTGCCTACAGTTTACCGGGCAGCTCTGTTTGACTATATATATGTCACAGCCCCTCGTTTGTTGTCCTCTTCTCTCTCTCTGCCTACGGTTTACCGGGCAGTTCTGTTTGTGACGATATATATAATATATATTTTTTGCTTTTCTGCGCTCTCCCAGAGGACCCCAAATCCGGGCTTTTTTCATTTTTTCCGAGTTGGCTGTCAAGGGGGGAGAACAGGGGTAGAAATTTGTTTAAAAGGGGCTAAGGGGGGTTAAAGGGGGGTGCCTTAGTGTGATTTTGTTATTTTCTTTTTTATCTCCAATTCGGTAAGGAATTCTGATGTGACCCTCAGCCAAAAGTTGTTTGTATTGCAATTCTACACAACATTTTTTTTTTCCTGGAATTTTTCGACTTTCGTTTTTTTTTTTTTTTTTTTTTTTTTTTCGGCGCTGGGGTTGCCCGGATCTTCCTGCCCGGGGGCCATGCCCGGCCGGGCGCCCGGGCATGTATCCGGGCACAAGTTGGGTGCCCGGGCGCCCGGAAAAACAGCGTAGTAAATAACTGCAATCGCTGCACCTCTGTGTTCGTAGCATATGGAAGCCTCGTGGCCTGTCTGCTCTACTACATACAATGACTGTGACTGCATGGATTGGGTGTGGTGCTTCCACAGGACACACCAGAACCAGTCTTGCCCGGCCTGTGTCCGTGGCTACTCAGCATAGGCAAATACTCTGCCTCTTCATCCGTTTTTCTGTGATGCGAATGCACTGCCTCTTCACTCATTTTCTGTGCCACCCGAACCGTGAGTGGCCAGTTTTTCATGGCAGTCTATGGCAGGCGGTTGTGCTGCTGAGTATTCAGGATCCAATGGGGTCCTCCCTCTTTCCCCTTCTCCTTCCGCTTCCTTTTCCTTCCTCTTCCTTCCTCTCGCCCACTTCTTTCTCCCCTCCCTTCCTCGTCCTTCTCTCCCCTCCTCCTGCTCCCTGTGCTGAACTGCAAAATGCATATGAATGACCATCACTAAGGGAACAGACAAAATAGGAGGTGCGAGTGTGTGTTAGGTATACAGCGCTCAACTCTACAACCTTGGCTGGCCTTGCACTACTCAAATTGCAGCAGTGAAATGACTGTTTCACAAAACTTTCACTAAAACATCACAATTATGCTATCTATGCATCATGGTGGTAAATGGGTTACTATGGTGTTTGTTTAAAACACATAGTCCGTGCGCTGTGGGGGGGGGGTGGGGGGGGG